GTGTGTGTGTGTGTGTGTGTGTGTGTGTGTGTGTGTGTGTGTGTGTGTGTGTGTGTGTGTGTGTATGTGTGTGTGTGTGTGTGTGTGTGTGTGTGTGTGTGTGTTAGTGTTGTGTGTTTGTGTGTGTGTGTTGTGTGTGTGTGTGCTGTGTGTGTGTTTGTGTGTGTGTATGTGTGTGTGTCGTGTGTGCGGTGTGTGTGTGTATTTTTAATTAGTTGAGCGAAGGTTCAGTTCATTTTACGAACTTCCTCCCTCAAGTCCTTCCTTCACATACCTTCCATCACGCTGCCTCCCTCACACTTCCCTTGACTCAGTCACGCTCACTGCCTTAAACTCAAATCCTCACACTCCCTTCCTGACCTTCCCTGATCCTCCCTTACCCTCCCTTACCCTCCCTTACCCTCCCTTACCCTCCCTTACCCTCCTTACCCTCCCTTACCCTCCCTTACCCTCCCAGAGCCATGAACAAGTTTAAAGTGTTAGTAGAAAAAGTTCTTCTTTATTAATCGTACTGTATTAAACTTAACTAGTTTGTTCTCTGTTTGTCTCACTCTGTCTCTCTGTCTCTGTCTGTCTGTCTGTCTGTCTGTCTCTCTGTGTCTGTCTGTCTGTCTGTCTGTCTGTCTGTCTGTCTGTCTGTCTCTGTCCCCCTCTCTCTCTCTCTCTCTCTCTCTCTCTCTCTCTCTCTCTCTCTCTCTCTTCTCTCTCTCTCTCTCTCTCTCTCTCTCAAGGTTTACAACACGATATCAGTTTACAGAAATAAAACAAATTAACAACTGCTGATAAAATAAATTGGAAGAAAATTTTATTTGTAAACTCAAAGAAATTTAGTGAGTAGTCAGAAATAGAATGTTCTCTATCGGGAGAAAGTTTTAATGTGCATTCTGAAATAGAATGTTCTCTGTCACAAGGTAGACTCCAGGTAGGAAGTTTCAATGTGAATTCTGAAATAGAATGTTCTCTGTCACAAGGTAGACTCCAGGTAGGAAGTTTCAATGTGAATTCTGAAATAGAATGTTCTCTGTCACAAGGTAGACTCCAGGTAGGAAGTTTCAATGTGAATTCTGAAATAGAATGTTCTCTGTCACAAGGTAGACTCCAGGTAGTGAAGTTTCAATGTGAATTCTGAAATAGAATGTTCTCTGTCAACAAGGTAGACTCCAGGTAGGAAGTTTCAATGTGAATTTGAAATAGATGTTCTCTGTCACAAGGTAGACTCCAGGTAGGAAGTTTCAATGTGAATTCTGAAATAGAATGTTCTCTGTCACGAGGTAGACTCCAGGTAGGAAGTTTCAATGTGCATTCTGAAATAGAATGTTCTCTGTCAGGATAAACTCTTAATATGCATTCGTAAATAGAATCTAATCTATTGGAAAAAAGTTTTAATGTACATTCAGAAATAGTGTGTTCTCTGTGGCAGGAAAAAAAAAAAAATCCGAAAATGTATATAGAAATAAAGCCATCATGTATAGAAATGCCTGCCTAGGTGACCATTTGCAAAGTCACACTGACTATGTAAATGGTCCAAGTCGGACCGAAACGTCCTCGTAAGCTTCTCTCTCCTATGTGTGGGTTATTTTTATATATAAAGCTTCTTAACTGCACACTGGCTTTAAGGCTGAATTTCTTCTCCTTACTGAAAACAAAATGAAAAAAAAATCTCTACAGGAGTTATACTGTCTGGAAAATGGCAGTTTGATCAATTGTAATGCCAGGAAAAAGACGGGAAGGCTTCATTTTCAATAATCAAGAGCCCTTTATATCCCTGAAGACACCCTATCCTTCTCCTCCTCCTTGGTTAGTGAAATTTTTACATAGTGAGAATGCGTCTTGAAGATGTAATTGGATCTTAGGTAAGATTAATGAAGAAAGATTAGAAGATCTTAGCCTTATCCTTAGACACCTCAGGCTTTGTGCCTCACATCACTTCCCGTCCTTCCCTCTAGCTCTCCCATCCTTTATCACTTTCATCAGTCATCGTTCTTTTTCTTCCTCTTTCTCGGAATCACCGTCTGGGTTCCCAGTCGAGGACCACTGTCAGGGAACACAGTCTGGAACCACAGTTTGGAATCCCTGTCTGGGAATTCTGTCTGGGACCATAGCATAGGACCCCTCCATGGAACTGCTGTCTGGGACCACAGCATAGGACCCCTCCATGGAACTGCTGCCTGGGACCTATGTCTTGACTGAGGCCTTGGACCACTTCATGGGATTCTTGTCTGAGATCACTGCTTGGGACCACTTGGACCTTAAGAACTAGTGATTCAATACTACCTGTAAGGGCATGTCTAGTACATTTCTTACATGAATGTAGATAAGTACATTTAGGGAGCCACTTGCAATGTAAACCTGTGTTGTAGTAGCCAGGCTTAGGCTTGCTTGCCAGTACCTCTGCCATTGTGGCAGATACACAGACGATATTTAACTAAATGTAATTTATATAGCTAGTTTTTATCATTCTCTTAAACACTGTGTGCTTCATTCATCACTTATTGAGGAATATCGAGATAGTGAAATTATCTATGTGAAATGTCATGGTATCCTATTAATAAAAATAATATATCAGACTTTTTTTTTTTTAAGCAGCTAGGCTAAATTCCCTTATATCAGTTGAAATACTGAATGTAAATACACGGTGATCCAATATGTGCTCCTGTTTACCATTTTTTTGAGGAGTCTACTTCGTAGGCTTTTCGTGTATCCCTAAGTTCTTGCAGTGCTGTCCAGAAGATAGTCATGGGGTGTACAAAAAACTTTTCACATCAGCAGTAAAATCTTGAACCTAAAATTTCTCCTTGAACATCACCCTCGCTTTCTCTCTCTCTCCCTCTCTCTCTCTCTCTCTCTCTCTCTCTCTCTCTCTCTCTCTCTCTCTCTCTCTCTCTCTCTCTCTCTCTCTCTCTCTCTCTCTCTCTCTCTCTGCAGGTGCTGGACGGATATCCGTGGCGTGGGTGAAGGCTTCCTCTCACAGCTCTTAAGAGTTCAGCATGATCGATAAACCGTCTTGGGCAAAGAAGAACCAACATTTCATTATCGGGACAGATGCCTCGGCAAGATAGAAGAGTGGGGGAGATGAGAGGAGAGAGTGGGTGAGGTGCGAAGAGCAGGAGAGATGAGAAGAGAGTAGGAGAGGTGAGAGGAGAGAGAGAGAATAGTAGAGGTGAAAGGAGGAGGAGTAGAGGTCAGAGGAGTGGGAGAGATGAAAGGAGAGAGTGGGAGGTGGTGAGCTGATGTAAGTAACAGCTCTTAGCTTGAAAATAAAGTTAGGAACCCTTAATCTTGTAAAACCCTGTGTAAAAACAAAAAGAGTGATGTGAGAGGAGAGAGAGAGATGAGAGGAGGAAGCGAGAGATGACAGGAGAGCGTGAATAGGAGAGATGAAGTGTGAGGAAGAGCATAATCTCAGTCTCATACCACTTGAAAATATATTTCACGCAAAACGTTACAGAAAAACACAAAGTTTGCCACGAACAAACCATGAAGCTCACACATGCACACACACACACACACACACACACACACACACACACAAAAAAAAAAAAAAAAAAAAAAAAAAAAAAAACACTGGTCACTCTGTCATCCACGTAAATCAGCCGCCGGGCCTAAACTCTTTCAAAAAAAAAAAAGGCATGACTATTTTTCGTCGATAAACTAAACTGGAAGATCGTATAACATGATCGACTGAGCATTAGCCCTTAATTATCACATGATTCGCGAATTGTTGTTCCAGCCGTTTTCTGCAAGCAATAACACGAGATTCTCTCATAAAGTTACTTCTTAGGAAAATATTATTTTTTAAGTTCTAAGTATTAAGAAAAGAGTGAAGGAAGACTTACTGAAGACCGGACACCACGAGCATATGTCTACTCCTCTACCTAGAATTAGGTAATTTCAAGGTGGTGTTTACCTGATACTTTGGCAAGATTCTAAACTTCCGAAAAAGAGAAGATGAGTGGCATTAAAAATTAATTTGACAAATATACAGTATGATCGAGACTGGGTGAGTGTTAGAAAGAGCCGGATAACCTGCTCCAGGAGGCTTACTGCAATGTTCCTTTGTTCCTTTGTTTATATACACCCTATATTTACTGTACACTTCAGTAAGTTGGCATCAGTTGTTAACCTGGAGGTTACCTGCAGGTTACCTGGAGGTTATTCCGGGGATCAACGCCCCCGCGGCCCGGTCCATGACCAGGCCTCCCGATGGATCAGGGCCTGATCAACTAGGCTGTTACTGCTGGTGATCACTATTTGTGAAATGCACTTTGTTAATGTTTCCTCCATGTCTTGTTCGGTCTTCAGTAGATTCTTCTTGACATTAAACTTTAAAGTTTAAAACCTTCTAGTTTATTACCAGTTTGGCTTCTGATAAAGCCTTCGCTAGGAGTGTCCTCTAAAATATTTTCTTTTCCTCTTTCTCCTTTCATATCAATCTCTTTCTCCTCCATTTCCTTTCATGTCCCTTCCCTTTCCTCAGTTCTTCCTTCTCTACTGCAGTGAATGGAAAGAATGAGCTCAAACCCATTAAAATCTTCCATAAGAATTGAATTTTGACATTTAAAAAAAGTTTTTATATCAAATATTAAGCATACACACACACACACACACACACACACACAACACATCTATCACACACAAAACTACTAACACACACACACACACACACACACACACACACACACACACACACACACACACACACACACACACACATACTAACAAAAATAATTTTATATTTTTCACATTCACTCACATAACTCTCTAATATATTATATTTCTCCAGAGGAATGAATAAAATTCCGTTATATATCTTCATCATTTTTCATGTTAATTAAATGCATAATTTTTATTTTCTAGGTAAAGTGATATGCAAAAAAAATGCAAAAAAAAAGCATTTAATATGATCATATGACATGGTGCAGATGGCATTACTAGAAACTAGAAAATATGAATTGAGTTAAATGCGCAAATATACAACACGTTTAAATTTACCTACTTACCTCTACCCATTGTGCAGGCGGCTAGGAATGTGTGTGTGTGTTTCGTGCGTGTGTTTGTGTTTGTGTTTGTGTGTGTGTGTGTGTGTGTGTGTGTGTGTGTGTGTGTGTGTGTGTGTGTGTGTGTGTGTGTGTGTGTGTGTGTGTGTGGTATTCAACTGGTCCTCCCCACCACCACCAAGGTCCTCGGCTGCAGGGGTAACTTAGGAGGCCCTGAAAAGATCACAAAAGAGTAATAGTTGTGAGTTACAAACAGACGCAGGGGGTGACAGTCGAGCTCACACACAATATTTATTATCTACACGGCTGTCTTCCCTCTGTAGAAGAAAGTCTGTGACTGGAGACACATATCACCTTCGTGGTATGTGAAGCAGAAGGAATTTGAGAGAGAGGAAGTGACGGACCTTCGATAAGTATCAACAACAATCTGGCACAGGGCTAGAGAGAGGGAGAGAGAGAGAGAGAGAGAGAGAGAGAGAGAGAGAGAGAGAGAGAGAGAGAGAGAGAGAGAGAGGTGGGGGGTTAATGTATAAGTGTGTGTATTTGCAAGATGGTTCATATAAATTCCTCTGTTTGAGTTCATGTCTGGTCATGGTTTACTGGTTAGCTTTGTTTTCAAGTTTGGAGGGCAAAAAGGGGAAGCGAAGGATTGGTAAAAGATGGAGCACTGAAAAAAGTTGAGGTAGATGGAAAGCGAAAGACGGGAGAGAATAATTGGCCTGACCACTTTAGGCGTTGTTTAGGTGAGTAATTTTTTGTCACGAAGACTGAGTTACTACCAGTAGGCCAGGGAGACCTTCAGGCTGCAGTGTAAAATTTCTTGGTAAACACACAGGCACAGACAGACAGACAGACACACACACACACACACACACACACACACACACACACACACACACACACACACAACACACACACAAACACACACACACACACCACACACACACACACACACACACACACACACACACACACACACACACACACACACAGGTATGACAAAGCAGAGAGAGAGGACCTAGTAGGGATCAGTGAAGAGGCGGGACCAGGAGCTGAGTCTCGACCCCTGCAACCACAATTAGGTGAGTACACACACACACACACACACCCACAAACGTTTATACAGGAAACTGAAGGTATGGTACTCCAACGCTGGTGGAATAACGAAAAAATGGGAGTGACATGAAAGAATCAAAGAGGCATCACCAGACATCATAGCTCTCACAGAAAACAAACTCACAGGAATGATAGCAGATGCCATTTTCCAACTGGATATCAGATCCTGAGGAAAGACAGAGGGAATAGAGGGGGTGGAGGAGTGGCACTGCTAATCAAAAACCAATGGGATTTTGAGGAGCTGGAGAGAGGAGACAGAGAAGCAAGAGACTACATAATAGGAACACCTCAGTCTAGAGGTCCCAACGTGGTAATTGCTGTGATGTATAACCCACCACAGAATAGGAGGAGGCCAAGACAAAAATATGATGAGAGTAACAGAGTAATGGTTGACACACTGACTGACGTGGCCAGAAGGGTCCATATGAGCAAAGCAAAGTTGCTGGCTGTGGGTGATTTTAACCACAAAGAAAACGACTGGGAACACCTGGAGCCACATGGGGGCCCAGAAACGAAGAGTCTTGGTCTGCGCATGTTGACATAATGTTCTCTTATTGTGCCCAAGGTGCCCCTGATAATCACTGGGTGTATTTTACACTTCCTTCCATATCTCTCACTCCAGTGTTGTTATAGCAGTGTGTAGAGCTATATCTGTCACTGCAGTGTTGTTATAGCAGTGTGTAGAGCTATATCTGTCACTGCAGTGTTGTTATGGCGGTACTTTCCAGGTATATATTATCAAGCTCCTCTATCTCATTCGCTCCAGAGAGTACATATTTAGGACTCTGAGACGTTCCCAGTAACGTAAATGCTTCATTGGGTCTGTGTGGGCCGTAAATAAACTCTACATCTGCTAAAGCTCTGCTCTCTTTCTCCTACTTCCAACGAAGCTGTGACCACACAGTAATATTCTAGACATTGGAGCAGAAATGACTGAGAAAGAACCACACCACTGTTGAGAAAGTTCTAGTTATCCACTCTATCATTCTCACGGCCTTGGCTGCATCTGCCTTTCTCTCCCCCAGACAAAAGATCCTCTGACATTATTTTGGAGGTCTTTTGTTTACCTGGTCTCTAGTTGAGTGTAAGATTTTTTCTGATTTCTAACCCAGGAGGGGTAGCCACCTAGGATGACCCTGGGGGAGGGTTAGCTACCCAGGATGACCCAGGGGGAGGGTAAGCTACCCAGGATGACCCAGGGGGAGGGTTAGCCACCCAGGATGACCCAGGAGAGGGTTAGCCACCCAGGATGACCCAGGGGGAGGGTTAGCCACCCAGGATGACCCAGCGGGAGGGTTAGCCACCCAGGATAACCCAGGTAAATAAGTAAATAAAGAAGTTTATTCAGGTATACACAAATACAGTTACATAGAATTATCATACATAGCAGCATATGTGTAGAGAACCTCGGATAACCCAAAAAAGTCAGAGTGACTTATTTCCACTGGGGTTCTTTTACCTTATTATTATAATATAAAGGTTATAATATTTCCTTATTATTCTATAATGAAGATAACATCTTATTATCATACTAAAAAGACTATCTACTACACGAGGTCAAATTTACACGTATGTTAGCTAAAAAATATAAAATCATTCCCCTCCCTTTCTGTAGCTACATTCATCAGACACCTTTTGGCACTCTTCTTGAACTGGTTCATGCTATGACTGGCTTTGACATGTGCAGGCAGTCTGTTCCATTCCTTTATTGCTGTACAATAAAAGGTGTTTGAAGCCTGGCCACTGACTGTGGGTACTACAAAGTTGTGCTCTCTCCCCCTAGTACTATGATTGCTTTGGTTCCCAACCTTGATAAAATTGACAGCAAGATATTCTGGACATTGTTTGTAAGCAATTTTATAAACATGATTTAGCTTGGTAATGGTGGTAATGGAAAACCTCATGAATCAGTACGTTAGGGGACACAGCCGGAGAAGAGAAGACGGACCAGCAAGACTTGACCTAGAATTCACCTTAAGTTGTGCAGATGTAGAGGACGTCATACATGAAAGGCCCCTCGGAGCTAGTGATCATGTTGTTCTTAGCTTCGAATACATAGAAGAGTTGCTAGTGGAGAGGGAAGCAAGAAGGGCAGAGAGCAGGAAGCCAAACTAAAACAGAGGGGATTACACAGGCTTGAGAAATTTCTTGCACGAAGTTCAGTGGGACAGAGAACTGGCAGGGAAATCAATGAGATGATGGATATGTGACAAAAATATGCAAGGCAGCAGAGGAGAAGGTCAGAACGAGCCTTTAGTTTACCCAGAGGTGTAGAGAGGCCAACATTAAATACGCTAGAGAATAGAAGAAGTGTAGGAGGCAAACGTTCCAGAAGAATAAGGAGAGAAGTCGAAGAGCCAGAAATGAATTCACACAGGTAAGGAGGAAGGCCCAACTACAATACCAAAATTACACAGCAGCGAAAGCCAAGTCCGACCCAAAACTGTTGTATAGTCACATCAGGAGGAAAACAACAGTCAAGGATCAGGTAATCAGGCTGAGGAAAGGAAAAGGTGAGTTCACAAGAATTGACCTAGAAGCATGTGAGTAGCACAACGTGAGATTTAAAGAAGTATTCACAGTGGATACAGAAAGGACTCCTGAAACACAGAAGGGTGGGGTACACCACCAAGTGTTAGACACAATACATCCAACCGAGGAAGAAGTGAGGAGGCTGCTAAGAGATACCTCAAAGGCGATGGAGCCGGATGACATCATTCCGAGAGAGGGAGCAGAGGCACTCTAACAACAATCTTCAACATATTTATCGAAACAGGGCAGCTCCCTGAGGCACGGAAGACAACAAATGTAGTCCCAATCATTAAATAAGGAGAGAGACACGAATTGCTAAACTACAGACCAGTATCACTGACATGCATAGTAAGCAAAGCCATAGAAGATTATCAGAAGAAGAGTGGTAGAGCACCTGGAAAAGAATGAACTTATCAAAGACAACCAGTGTAGATTCAGGGATGGGAAATCCTTTGTCACAAACCTACTAGAGTTCTATGACAAGGTGATAGCAGTAAGACAAGAGAGAGATGGGGAGGGTAGATTGTAGTTTCCTGGACTACAAGAAGGCTTTTGACACAGTTCCACGCATGAGATTAGTGCAAAAGCTGGAGGACCAGGCAGGTATAACAGGGAAGGCACTGCAGTGGATCGGAGAATACCTGATAGAAAGGCAGCAGCGAGTCATGGTACGTGACGAGGTGTCAAAGTGGGCACCTATGACGAGCGGGGTTGCACAAGAGTCAGTCCTAGGGCCGTTGCTGTTTCTGGTGTATGTGAATGACATGACGGAAGGCATAGACTCAGAAGTGTCTCTGTTTGCAGACGATTTCAAATTAATGAGGAGAATTCAATCGGAGGATGACCAGGCAGTACTACAAAGGGCTCTGGCCTGTTCCAGCAAAAGGCTCCTGGAGTTCAACCATGCCAAGTTCAAAGTCATGAAGATCGGGGAAAGGCAAAAACGCCGCAAACGGAGTACAGTCTAGGGGGTCAAAGACTACAAACCTCACTGAAGGAAAAGGATCTTGGGGTGGGTATAACACCGAACGAATCTTCTGAGGCGCACATCAACCAAATAACTGCTGCGGCATACGGGCGACTAGCAAACCTAAAAATAGAGGCCCATATTAGAGCATGCAGCACCAGTTTAGAACTCACACCTTGCTAAGCACGTCAAGAAAATTGAGAAAGTTTGCAATGAGACTAGTACTGGAGTTAATCGTTAAACCCTTAGCACCTGGTTCGCTGGATGGGAGGCAGCCTATATGGGAGTGTGTACATATGCCGAATAAGTAACGTACACTTTGCATGCCACAGGAACATGAACAACAACCTATAAAATACTGAGAGGAATCGACAAGATGGACTGGGACAAGATGTTTCAGAGATGGAACACACTAACAAGGGTTCACAATTGGAAGGTGAAGACTCAGATGAGTCTCAGGGATGTTTGGAAGTATTTCTTCAGTCACAGAGTTGTCAGGAAGTGGAATAGTCCGGAAAGGGAGGTGATGGAGGCAAGATCCATGCATAGCTTTAAGAAGAGGTATGATTAAGATCACGGAGCAGGAAGGGAGTGACCT